TTACAACAGCTGCAGGTCAGGGGATACCTGGGGAGATGAGAAGTTCTTCCCTTGAGCCTTTGAAGAGAGCTTGTCCAGCTAAGGCCTGAATTTGAAGAGCTAGCCCCCAGAGGTGGGAGGCAACCAGCTTCTGCTCTTGTTAAGCTGCCCAGAGTGTGATGCTTTATTACGGCAGCCCTGAACACAAACATAGTGGTCCAGGAAGGGCAAGAGGAGTCTTTCAGAAAGTCGAACAGCATTCAGGGCTAGAGACACACGGTGCCAGGGGGTAGGGGAAAGTGGGCATTCAAATGAGTGCTGCAGCAGCAAGTGAGGGTGCGGACTGGGGCTCAAGAGTCTGAGCCTCGACCCACCAGGAGCTGTGAAAACCAGCCGCCCCAATAGGAACAACTTTCTTTCCCACCCAGGTTCTATCCACATGTGTGTGAGGCCCATGGACTCATCACAGTAACTCCGTCACTGAGCCATGGGCCTTTGTATATCTAGACCCACGCCCACAATGGACCGCTAGAGGCACGTTGAGCAAAGACGAACTTCATTTTACTTTAGTGAAGAAGATATGACCCTTTAAAAGTCTTGGGACTTGAGAGCCAGGTACTGGCAGGGGTTCGTCATGGACCTTGCTCTCTCCCTCTCCCAAACCAAAACCCCACTCACTCCAGAGGACAAAGTCGAACTTCCCCATACAGCTGTCATCTGTACAGGGGCAGCCCTGGGGCAAGGCAGTTAAGCACACGGCTGTGACCCAAACAATTGGCAGTTCAAACTGCTGAGCAGTGCAGGAGAGAAGGACGTGACAGTCTGATTCAGCAATCCTATACTCACTGCCATCCAATCGTTGATGCGTAGCAACCCGACCAAGGGTTTCTGAGGCTGTCAATCTTCCCGAGCAGACAAGGCTCATCTTTCACTCAGAGCAGCTGATGGTTTGAACCACCAACCTTGCTGTTACCAGCCCCACACCGAAGCCACAGCGCCATCAGGGTTCCTCAGGAAACTATACAGCTGTTCTGCTCTGGGACATTGGGTCACTTGATCAGAATTGCCTCAACAGGGCAATACGTTTTTACAGAAGTAGCCAGCCACATCTTTTCCCTGTAGAGGAGGCTAGTGGGTTTGAACTGCTGACATTCCAGTTAGCAGCTGACAGCCTACCCATTGTGCTTCCAGGGCCCTTTCCCCTTCCACTACCTGACTCGGATGAATTTGGAACGCTAAGAATGGGCAACCGGTCACAGAAATTACAGTGCAGACCTGCACAGTACAGGCAAGGGAGCAGCACTAATTTTGCTTAATAAAGAGGTTGGCATCATCTAACACAGCGGTTCCCAACCTGTGGGTTGCAACCGCTTTGGGGGTCGAACGGCCCTTTCACAAGGGTCATCCAATTCATAACAGCAGCAAAATTACAGTTATGGAGTAGCAATATAAATAATGTTATGGTTGACAGGTCACCACAACATGAGGAACTGTATTAAAGGGTCGCAGCATTAGGAAGGTTGAGAACCACTGATTTAACATGTCTCATACCCAGCCATCTCCAGCCACTCTAACCCAAACCTAGGAACAATCAGATTCACATTGATGTGGAATGACTTGTCTTCTCCCAAAAGATAAGTCCCAAACCCTTACCTGTGTGAATGTGACTTTGTTTGGAAATGGAGCATTTGTTTTCTTATGTTAATATGATCTTACTGGAGCAGGGTGGGTCCTAAATCTAATTTCTTCTGAACACAGACACACATACACAGAGACAAACACACACAGGGACAGACAGACACCATGTGCTAACAGAGCCTTATGCTTCCATAAGGGAAACAGGAGGGATTGCTGTTAACTGCTGGCAGCATGAACCAAACGGTGTCTGGTGGTGTAGTGAATGACAAGGTGGGCTGTTAACCCCAAGTTCAAAACCACCAGTCACTCCTTGGATGATGAGACTTTCTGCTCCCCTAAAAACGGACAGTCTCAGAAACCCAAGGGCAGCTCTACCCTGCACACACACACACCCTCCAATCCTGCTGCCATTGAGAGCATTCCGACTCAGAGCAACCCTGCAGGACAGGACAAAACTGCCCCTTGTGGCTTTCTGAGGCTGTCACCTCTTTGTGGGAGTCGAAAGTCTCCTTTCCCTGAGGAGCAGCCAGTGGTTCACTGCTGGCCTTTCTACCAGCAGCCCAATACCTAACCTACTTCCTACCAGGGCTCTTTCTCCTTGGATTAGACACCCTCCACTTAGACGTTGAGTGTCCAGAGTCAGAGAAAACAGTTTTTGTTTGTTAAATCCACCCTCCAGCCAGGAGCCCCGAAAGCACTGTGGATTAGGGCATTCGATTGCTAGCCACAAAGTCTGAGGTTCAAACCCACAAGCTGCACCTTGGGAGAAAGGTGGGGCTGTCTGTTCCCAAAAGACTTAGTCCTGGAGACCCTACCTAAGCTTGCCAGAGTCAGAATCAATTCATGGCAGTGGGTTTTCTCCAGCTACTCTGCTTTCCAGAACTCTGGGGTGGCGCTCATGCAGTATCAACTCGCTAAGCCCTTTCTTCTCAACAAGATCCGGGCTCAAAGCCAGGGACCAGCTTTATGACGCCTCCCCCCTCAGGCAGCAGTCATCTAGTCTACGTAGTGTGTTTCTCCCAACAAAGCAAGGTTTGCAAAGCACAGTCTCCTTAGTTCCGGTCCTTCCACGGAGCCTTAGGCAGCCTCCTGGTAGACTGAAGTGTTTACTTAGCTTGTGACATCTGTGTCCCCATTCATCAGACCACCTCCTCTGCAGTCCGAGGGCCCTTTCCCAACAATCTTCACTTTGACGCGAATATCTTGACTCCTCAGGCAGATCTCGTGGGGGGAATACAAGACAAGCAAAGTCACCTCTAGAGAACTCGAGATGGATGGTCCGAAGAGCCTCAATTCTTCTTCCTGCGCTTTCCACTGGCTCTTTGGACGCTGCTTCCCATCTTCTGCTTCATTTTTAATTTAGGAAAGATGACTAATACTGTTTGATCACTTTCATAGCTTGACCTCGCTGGCCTCTGTAAGCCCTGAAGGGTAGACTCCTTAAGAAAAGGCAAGGCAGGCATGGCATGTGTCAGGGGGAAGTGGAGTTCCTATGATTGCACTCACAAATGTTGCCTTTGACATGCAGTTCCTCTCCATTCATGAAAGATGGTTTCCTGATGGTCATTTATTAGCTGTGACAGCCAGCAACACTCCTTTCAGATACAGCCACAATGATCTCGAGCTGCCTTCAAGGCACAAAGACGGCTCCAAGCTCCCTTCCAGAATGCTTGCCCCCAAGGCAACAGCTCAAAGCCTCTGTTAAGGGAGCACTGCCGTGGCAGAAGTCTCTGGACAGGGAGGTTCTACTCTTCCTACTGACACCAGGAACACAGACATCAATTACTCCCACTCCACATGCCAGGAAACCCAGTTCTGCCCCCGTCTCTAGGGGGAAACCTCCTGTGCCCACAGCGAGAGCCCCAAATCCCCTAAACCACCCCCACGCCCGGCAGAGGAGGTGCCATCTTTGCCAGAGCCCTTCCCAAGTAACCTGCACCACCAAGACAAGGAAATGTTTTCCCTGAATCTCAAAGGGACAAACTAGAAGCATAAAAACTAATACATAAACTAGATACACTATGGGTTTAATTCATTAAACATTCTAATGAATGACATAAAAATCACACGACTCTGGTTAACAGGGTTTACAGCCCATATTTTCTGCCACATTACAAGACCCAATGTTGTCTGCTTTGAGTATCTCTACCCATTTCTTTCTTGGTAGCACAAGTGATCCGGCACCAGCTGGCAGGGTGGCAGCCATGGGTGCCTCATAAGACAGGCTTGGCAACTGCTCTGAGGAGTGCCAGCAGTGACAACCCTGTGGGGCAGTTCAGCTCTGCAGAAATGGGGCCACCGTGGGCTGGAAGTACACTCCATGGCTGCTCCCCCCAAAAAACCAAAACACTGCCAGAGTTGATTTGGGCTCAGAGAGACCCAAAAGGGATGGGTAGAACCGGCCCCTGTGAGTTTCTGGGACTGACTCTTTATGGGAGTAGAAAGCTGAGTTTCTGGGACTGACTCTTTATGGGAGTAGAAAGCCTCGTCTTTCTCCCTCTGAGAGGCTTCAAACTGCTGATCCTATGGTTTGCAACCCACCACATAACCACTATGCCACCAGAGTGCCTTCGATGGCAGCAGGCCGCACTGCTTTCTGCTTCTACGTTTTCATTCAGGGGGTTGCTAGCAGTCTCAGGATCACCTCGACAGCTTGAGGTTTTGAGAAGACGCGCTCAGTGAGACGGGGGTGAGCCAGAACCGCCTTGTGTTTCTGAGACTCGCAAGGTCTTCCCACATCTGACAGGGTGCCGGCTGCCCACTTCCCCCGCACTTGTCTGCTCTGAGCCGGCTTTCTCTAACCCGGTTCTGCCTGCCCTTTGGCTTTCGCAGGTTTGACTGTCTTTTGCTTTAGGCATTTGGGAGCAAACAGGCAGGCTGGGGTGGGGAGCAGATAAGAGAGAAATGAGACGGGAGAGAGAAAAGCAGAGATTTGAAAGAATAAGGTGGCAGGGTGGCAGGAGACAAAACTGGGGACTGAAGACAAGTAAAGCCTTTCTTCCCATGTTAAATCTGGTCCACACGGAGAATCGCTCATCACCCGTGCCAAGCCCACGGCACCAGTCTGCCAAATGGTTCTTTTTGCATTTAAACGTAGGTAGTGTGCTGCCCACGGAGTTTTGGCTCAGTGGTTAAGAAGCGCGGTTGCCAACCAAAAAATCAGTGGTTCAGAGCCCCGGGTCACAGGAGAAAGACGTGGCTGTCTGAACCCACGAAGCCATGAGAATCGGCCCCGGGGGCGCTGCACCCTAGCTTCCCCTGAGTTGAACAGACCCCACAGCAGTGGGTGGGGTGGGGTCTTGAGTGCTTCGAAGACAACCAGAAAATGGCAAGAGTGAAACATGTAATTATAGTAGTATAAAAATGAGCATAATGCAGTGTGGTGAATTTTAATAAGACTTTAATAACATTGGTAGAGAGCCAAACTACAAAATGCCCAAGAATTTGGAGTACGAAACCTCAGTGACAAAATAAAAACATACCAAAAGCTAGAAACACTAAAAGGGGGTAATAATCTTCAGGCTAAAGAAACCATTTTCTCCACAAGTACTGAGCACGTTCAATAAAAATTAAATGAGATTGAAGATGAGGAGGTGCCGGCGGGCACTCCCACCCGATCTGGGCAGGCAAAGGCTCCACGCCAGGAGCACACGAGCTCCAATCACTGATAGATCTGGAATCAGCTGCCGCCGGGTGGCCTGGGTCCCTCAGCTCTCACTCCCGGGATAGAGGTGGTTGTAGCGCCATTATGGAAAGGAACCAGGCTGGCCCACGAAGGGCTGACACGGTTTCCCCAGAGGAGTGGGTGGAGCCCTGCCTCACCCACCCACTCCACCCCACTGGCCATCATGGCAGGGTGTGGTCTGGGGGTGCACAGTCTTCTCCTCCAGACACCAAACCGAAAAGCAGGCAAAACCAGGCGCCCCCACGCTATCCCAAGGCACAGCCTGCCAGAACCCTGCCTGGAGCAGACAGCAGGAATGCAGGCAGCTCCCTGCTTTGCTTTGTTCCACGGTCACTCGTCAAGGCAGATGTGCCGTCCTACCAGGGGGCTGGATTTGGGTGGGGAGTTCCCCCAGGCCCCTACAACCAAGAGTTTAGTGCTACTGTCATTTGGCCCCATTTCCTACCCACCCCAATCCTAACTACGTGGTACGATTCCGTTGGGTTCAACGTCCCCACCAGGAACACACGACCAGCCAGGTAGCTGTCCTCCAGCAGTCCTGGAGAGTGGTTGCTGGCCCCCTCGGCAGAGCCACCAGCACCCAGCAGGCCGGGCGACATGGGGCTCCCTGTCCCAGCCCTGTGCGGCAGACCAGCAAGAGGCACCATAAATCAATCGTTTAAGCAGATGCAGATTCCACGTTGACAAGAGAGACAAGAAGAAGATTTGAGGCTTTATGTCCGCTAGATGTCTACTTTTGCTATTAAAAAGTTATGTGTGACTTCAAGATGAAAGGCATTAGCAGCTTCTTAGAAGAAGATAATCCCAATCTTCTGGAGATTTAATGATGTAACTCACTGAAGCTTCTGACTCGGCCGGCTGTTAATTGAATCAAAGTCGATGACAATCTTGCTGCACTTCGGCGTGAATTTCCTAAGCATGAAAAAAGAAGAGAGAGAGGGAGAGAGAAAGATATTATCTGGTGGTAGTTAAAACAATTTGTTTACTTTGGCTTAACCTACATTTTCTGTGTGGGAAGATGGTTCCTGGGACTCACTTGCTCTCTTCTCTCTACAGGAGTCAAGGACAGCGCCCCATACCGGGAGGAACACGGGCCGGCACGGACTAAGGCAAAAAGGAAGCCTGGGAGGCCCCGGCTACCCGAGTTCACGGATTACAGGGAGCCAAAGGCTTTCTAGCAAGTTAGCCGCACAACACGGCCTCCGAGGACCACCTTTCCCACCAGATTTATCTGATTTCCTAGGAAATGTCTGCGGCCAACCAGGAGTGGCTGGCTCCCCAGGGAAAGCAGTACATTTCCCTCCTTCACAGCAAAGAAACTCCACCCGCCCAGACCCGCCCCCAAGGGGAAAGGCAACCGGTTCTCGTGAGGAGCTAATTTTTAAATTCTAAAACCGGAAGAGTGAAACAGAGCCCTTTTACATTTTTACTCATTACTGAACCTTTTACAGTAGTTAAAAGTATTGGTGACTGAAGAGGCTCCTTTGGAAAAGCAGTACACAGAAGTTTTTCTATGTCATTTGGACATAAAAGGCATGTAAGGCACAACGTACATGTTATTCCTGATGATCCCTAACATATGTGTTACCCGAGGATGCTCCCTAATGTACATGCTACATTCCCTTTGATGGGGAATACCAGAGACAAGCTTCCTACCGCGACACCCATGCTGCCCACCAATCCCAGGGAGGGGCTGCTTCGTCAATCTTTACCATCTGAGAAGGGTTTCCCAGGTGAATCCGAGGTGGGTAAAGCACACCTGGCCACCTCAGCCTGGCCAGGCCGACATGAAGACGTGATTTCAGACTCAATGGAAAATGAGGTGCTGAAAGGAAGCCCCGCAGCGGGCTCACCCTGCCCTCTCTAGGCCGGGGCTGGTTGTTAGGGGTGCAACGCTGACAAAGAGCTAATGTTCATGTTCTAAAACCTGTGGATTTTCAGTCCTCACCACTAGTGTACTTTGTCTCGGCCCTAGAGTTACTGCTCTTCAAGCACACCCCTCACAGAGACTGTCTTCAGATACTTCTGTCGTTACAATGTATCCTGGCAGTAGGCTGTGCATTTCCCTTTCCAGCCACGGCTAAAAGGCCCCTCGGAGTGTGGGAGCCAGGCACTGGCCAAGGGTGAACACCGTCCAAGGCCAAAGGTTGCTTTCTGACAGCCCTTCCCCGGAAGTTCTTCCTGCTTACCTGAACGTAATCCCCGCCATGTTAAACATGAGCCTCGCTGCTGTGGTCTCGTCGCTATCGTGGTATTTATCGGACATGAAAATAACTTCTTTGATACCTTCGAAGGCAGCAATGGAAAGCCTGTTAGTATGTGCAGATACCGAGAGGCCAAAAGACACAAGGAGCAGATGGAGCCCTGTAGTGTCTACGATTAATTACCCCTTCAGAGCGGGTGTGCAATGTCCAGTTCCCGGAGTAACTATCTGCTTCCTAATACAGCAGAGGACGTGGATTATATTTAATCTGCCCTCCAGTCTTTATGGATCTTTTGGTAACACATGCAAAGTGAAAACATGTCAAGTAGTCAAGGCTTGATCCGATTAACAATTTTTCCTTACTGCAGGCAATCAAATGCCCTCCATTCACAAGGCTCCTACTCCTAATGGGAGAGGCTAGCAGGGATGGGGAGTGGAACGTGCTGGGGAACTAAGTACCCCGGGCTTCCAGGATGGCTCTGCAGAACGAGTCACACCAGCTCAGTGGAAAGCAGGGCTGATTTCCTTTCCCGATCCCCCACGTAGCGCTACCTCGAGAGCCAGGGCTGTGGAGGGCCCCTGAGTGGCGGCCATGCACTGAGGCAGCTCCTCCACTGGCTCCTGACGGAAGCCCAAGGAAGCGAACGCTCAGGGAACACTGCCTCCACGCTGCAGCAGGGCAGGCCAGGAAACTGTCCCTCGAAGGGGTCCAGTAGCAGCCACATGGAGGCCTTTGGCTGAAAGACCACCAGCCCGCTTCTGCTCACAGATGACACGCGGGTGGTGATAAACGGCCCCTTTAAGCCTCACATCTGGCTAAACATGATAAGTGTCTAAATCTCCAGCGGAGAGTTTCATGGAGATAAAGTGGTGCTGCATCTGAGTTGTGACAGTGGGAAAAGGTGAAATATTCAGAAGGCAATGGTGTAGATTTATGGCCACTGGACTATAAAGAGGGGGAAAACACCCAAACAGAACAGACCTCAAAAGTAAGTCGTAAGGCATTGATATGCAAAGACATGTTGAGATCTTCACATGTCCACCATGTATTAGGTGAGAATTGAAATTTCATATACATCCTCTCAACTGACCTTGTTTCTGACAGAAGCTCATTTCCCTCCTCCCCCGGTCTACGCACAATATGTCAGAGAGTAGTAAAGCGACAGTAATTATATGCAATGCCTGTGTTGCTTTTTGGCAGCTTGCAGCTTAAGAAGTTGCAAACTAAATTAGAAACATGCTAAGAATCACAGAGGGTGCAATTAGTCTCAGAATACCTGGCACCGTTCAAAAAACACACACACACACACACAGGAAATACCTTGCAAAGTTGATAGTGCAATTAATTTAGATCTAAACAATAGCAATTTGAGATCAAACACATCTGCAAGGAGCTACTGATGAGCAAGCAGCACTGCAAACATGACAAGTGGAAGCAGCCAGCTCCTACCTGCCTGGATGATGAGCTTAGCACATTCGTTACATGGGAACAAGGCGACATACATGGTGCAGCCTTTCACGTCGGCCGAGTTTTTGTTCATGATGGCATTCAGCTCGGCGTGGCACACTGCGTTGAAAGAGAGGGAGAGAGACAAACTTGGATTGCAGCTCTTGAAGAATTTAAGACGACGAGCCATGAAGCGTTCCTGCCCCACTCTGAAATAACACAGACCAAACGCAATTAAGGGGTGGGGGGTTGGGTAGAGACTCTAAATGGCCAGTACCGAGAATGCCAAATGAGGGCCAAGCTGTTCGACCGGGTGGGCAATTAGCAGCATAGGCGTTAACCACTCGGCTCGGAAAGTCTGTGAGCACCTAGAGCAGCCAGGAATGGCCAAGGTCAACTAGCTTCACCCACCCGAACAGGAGCCATAGCTCAGCGCTCCACAAGGCCCTCGGGTATTGAATGGCCCATATAAAACGGCTCATTTGTGTGTTGATATGCACACACGGGGATACTCGCTGAGGCTGTGAAGAGGCCATAGTGCAGGGAATCAAGAAGTCGCGCTGAGCACTTCTATCCCGGGGGACCTGCAGCACCTCGTGGCTCTCGGAGCACAGAGCAACCCAGCAGGCTGTCCTGCGTTAAGAAAGGCCACTTAACGGCCATGGGAACACACCTTCTCCACGTTACTGGCCCATTTGGCTTAAGATGCCAAAATGGAGGTCCACGGTCACCGGGGGCTTGCCTGAATTCAAGGTGAAAGGGGCAGCTTGCTCTCTGCTCAGGAGCCAGCCCATCTTCTCGGGCCTCGTTTGCTGGGCACTCACACCACCCAAGCCACAGGGAGAAGGGGGGGCTGTTGCCTTCCTTGCAAGGGAGCGAGCAGGACTCACGCTCACTGTGAACCGCAGGCCTGTGCGTTGCCAGGTTTCGTATTGTCATCTTTTCCACTTCTGAGGCTTTCCATACTGCCATCTAATTTTCGGGGTGTGTGAACCAAAACTAAACCACAAGCGTGCTTCTAACCCACGTCTAGCTGTACACTGGGGCGCCCTGAGAAGCCCCTCCTCAGAGTGACGGTGCAGGGTGCCCTGGCCGTGGAGGCTGATGCCTCACACGATTCCCCACAGGACTCTAGTGTGCAGCCGGGCCTGGCCTCCCTTCGGCTCTCCTCAGGAGGATTATTCACACCGGCCGGGTGCTGGGCTTGGCTGCTGGCCCACGCACCTCCTGTGTGGCAACCAGTCATGTGTCAGTGGAGGTTCCACTGTTGTTGTGACGCTGAACAGCTTTCAGGGGAGCATCCAGATGGAGCTGCCTAGGCAGAAAGGCCTGGCCGTCTGCTTCCAAACATCAGGCATTGGAACCCTATGGCTCACCTGGTTCACTCGGTTCTGCTCCATGGAAAATGGAATCACCATGAGTGGTAGAAGCGCTGACTGGATGACGTCAACAACAGCACGCACACAAGTAGTCTACGCAAGGCTTTCGTACGTATTTTAGTCACAACCTACTCCATGAGCATTTATGGACCACCAGCTCCAGGTCAGACAGGAGAAAGACCTCCCTAGCCCCTTGCCCATTTTCTGGTGGGACTGCATCACGGTGAACGATTGCCTTCATTCTGGCCGCAGGCAGGGCGGGCGCTCAGGAAATGCCAGGCAGGCTACCGTGAGTGGAAGAAGCCCAAGGCTTAGGAGGCCGTGCCCAGTGAGTGGATTCTGACTCCTGCCACCGCCCCCCACCTTGTCTGCAGAGAGCACCTGCTCCAAAGGGTCTTCAAGGCTGTGAGCTTTCTGAAGCAGACCCTCAGTATGTCTTCCGAGGTGCCTCTGGGTGGTTTGAACCCTCACCTTTCAGCGAGGGAGGTAGGGGGCTTAACCGTGTTTGCCGCCCAGGGACTCCAGGGTCATGCGTCAAAATAAGCAGTCTCTGGCAGGCAGAAGAGCCTAAGGGGGGGTGGGGGTGGAGCTACATTTAACCTGCTCACAGGCCACGGGGAGGAGGTACACCAGGCTGGTCTAGCCCATACATCTGAGAGGTGAGTGAGCGGCCACCACAGACTCCATTCCAGTGTTCAGGGCGAGCCGTGTGACCACGAAGCACTGACCTCCAAGGGGCTTGCTATGTCCCAGCAGCCTCCCTGGTGACCAAGCTGTTCTGAAGCGGGGATGAACCCTGCTCAGTGTTAAAAACAATTAGATGTAATTGTTTCTTTTATCTCCCCCTGGAGGGTGAAGACCAGGCTTCTAGGTTCTTTTCGAGTCCCCCAGAGCCCAATGCAATGCCAGGAGCATAATGGGTGTTAAATATTTATTGAGTGAATAAAGGAGGAAATGCAGATTCTAATTATTGATGGTAACATTGGGAAATACAGGAAGTTCTCTTAAATTCAAGTATCAAAACTATGCTTTCCCAATGTAGCATTTTTATGTGGTTCATATTAATATTCAGAACTACATAGTTTCTGAACTCTGTTCAGGAAACACTGTTACATTGTCTCTCTTTTGAATCTTGAAAAATCACCACACTGACTTACACCAATCTCCCTCGAAGTCATCTGAGACAGTCTGGGGCAAGATTTAACATGATATGTCTTGATTCATTAATGAAAATTACCATATGAATCAGGTTCTCTCAGCCAGCATCTGACCACCCTGCATGGTGGTTGATAGAAAAACAGACTTCCTTTCTCAGAAGTACAAGTCACAAGAGAAAGAAGGGAAAGCCACTTGCTAGAAAAGTCTGAGGCCTGCGGGTCTGATGCACAGTGGCCGGTCGGCATGGGGCTCAGACACAGACGGGGCTGTCTACAAGAATAGTTCTCAGTGCCACGTATTCAATACCCAAAATTCCCAAACTGCCATCGAGTCAATGCCGACTCTTAGTGACACTACAGGACAGGTGAGTACTGCCTGGTGGGTTTCTGAGACTCGCTCTTTTACTGGAGTAGAAAGCTCCATCTTTCTCCTGAAGAACGGCCAATGGTTTTGAACTGCTGCTCTTGCAGCTGGCAGCCCAAGTCGTAGCCCCTACGCCACAGGGGCTCCTCACTCCACCACTAGACAGTGACGTGCTTGGCCCACCAAGCCGTCCCACAGACTCCCTCAGTGCTGCAAACTTCCAGTGCTTGGCTTTGAAGGTGCCTCGGAAGAAAGGCCTGGTCAATGTACTTCTAAACACTAGCCAACGAAAACCCCGAGGCAGCACACTTCTACTCCGACAGGCAGGAGGCAATGTCACCATCCGGTGGAATCGGCTCCAAGGTAACTTGTTTCCCGAGTCCCATCACTAAGGGGTTGAAGAGAGAAACCCCCCACCCACGGGGACACACAGCACCTCGGCCTGGATCCTGGCCCTCAATCCCACTTTGCATGGTGCTGTCTGTCCTGGTCTTTGCCTTTCTGGCCCAGCCTTTGCCCTCAGACCCAAGATCTCCATGTCCCTGACAGGCGGCTTCCCCTCCGACACTCCCTTGTATCTCCCTATAGGAGATGCCCTTAGATGGGCCACAAAGAGAAAACAGGATGAACACACCTGGCAAACGGCCACCCTGTTGGTTTAACGTGGGTCAGAGTGGAGGCTGGGGATGGCCATCTACGCTGATCAATTCCCTGGCTAACTGCCCCGCCTGTGGTCCAGGGCAGAGCCCTGGCCAGTCCTGTGTCGGCCCCATGATTGGTGGCTGATGGAACTGCCATGCTCTCTAGGGCTTCCCCTGGCAGTGTTTTTGGAAGGAGACCACCAGGCCTTTGCTCCTATTCACTCTCAAGCTGGAAGCTCTGCTGAAACCAGTTAAACGCCATCGCAACAGGCAGACCTCCGCTGATGGGTGGATCTCACACGGAGAGCAGAATCCCAGCACGGAATTACCACTGCCCTCACAGGACCTCTAATTTTCTCTAGAACAATGTTTTTCAAACTGAAAGTAGGTCATGACATCGGCTCAGCGAGTGATAACCGGTATTTTGTTTTATTTATTTTTCCTATTAAATGAGAAGGATGAGAAGGGACCTGATCAGAATGCAACCTACATAACAAGGTTAATTACTGCTGCTTAAAACGGTTTCAGATGCAAATTGCGTTTGCTGTGTCGCCTGAGAAACACTATTCTGCGGAAACTCGCTGGCCTCTGGAATATGCTGGTAGATGTTTGTAACCAACAATTTGTAGCAATTGCTGATTTCTGCGGTGTACATACTTCCCCCATGGCCACTTTCAAGCTCCCAACACGACATTCCATAAACCGAACCCGCTGCCATGGTGTCGACACCAGGCACCCACAACAAAAACCAGAAACCTCACTCAGAGTCACAGAGGCCTTGCTGACCTGGGACGCGGTCAGTTGGCATCAGCCCCACACACCCCTGGACGCCCTTATCCTTACCTGGACCTACGGTCTCTTTTCGGTGGCAGTCTGTGGATTGGCCTGGTGGCGAGTTGAACTGCTAACATCAAGGTCAGCAGGCTGAAGTCACCAGCCACTCACTCTGTGGGAGAAGATGAGGCCTCTCCTCCCATAAAAAGTGAAAGTTTTAGAAACTCAACAGGCCCAGGTCTGTCTACAGGGTCGCGATGAGCTGAAACGGACTTGCTGGCAGCCTGGTCTGGTGCTTTGGATTCACCACTGTGCTTGGCCCCTGGTTAGGGAGCCACTCTCCACTCAAAAGGCAGGGGTCACTCGGTGGTAGCACTCTCGCCGTCCACATGGGAACATGGGCTCCCGCTCAGTCAGTGTGCCTCAGGCTCAGCCCCCCAACCGTCAGTGGAAGCTTGTGCTGCTAGGATGCTGAACTGAAAGACAGACAGAGCTGCAGATGCTGGTCCAGTCCCTAGGGCGCCATGGTGCAGTGGTGAGCTTAGTTGCCTTCCACAAGTGCCAATCCCATTGTGCCTGTGGTCATCACGAGCTGGGCTGATTAACAGCCGTTAGCTAACACCACCACCAAAGCCCCCCTGGATCACCATATGCTTGGGCTTCTCCTCCTCCGACTCAGCAGGTGCCTCTTCTTTATCCCGCCATTCTCCTGCAACTTCCTGCGACTTGGTCCTGCTCTTCTATTTTTCTCCCGTCGTCACCAACTTTAAGATTTCACCAGTTCACGTATCCTCAGGTACCGAAT